TCGCGATAACCAAGAGGGGAGGGCTACTGCCTGCCCCGAGTGCCACTGACCGTAGTGACTCTACTGGTAAGAGTGATACTGCAGCTCGGCCCTCAAGGTTTGTCAGCTGACATAAATGACAGGGTGCATTCTTCCATTTATCTGCCCAGGAATTTGCACTTCTTCAATTGGAGTGTGAGGTTTACGTTTCGGAGAACGTGAACTCTTCCCAGGCGCGCTAAACCTTCGTCGGAATCTTTTGACGGCATCAACTTGTCGTCCATATAGGCCATTGCCACTTTGTAATGCAGAGTACCCAGCACGACAGTCATCATTCTGTGGAACACGGTGGGTGTGTTCGTAAGTCCAAATGGCATGTGTAAGAATTTGTAATGCCCGTCCAGTGTGACGAAGGCACTCTCTGCACGTGACCCGTCCGCAACAGGAACTTGATAGTGTCCCGACGCTAGGTTGAGCATTGTGAAGTAGCTTTTTCCGTGCAGTCTGTCTAGCTAATCCTCAATCAACGGAAATGGGTGACAATCCCTCTTGGTAACTCAGTTGAGTCCTCTGTAGTTGATACGGATTCGCTTTTCGTCACTTTTCCTTTATTGCAAGGAGTAGTGGGCTTGCATATAGCAATGAAGAGTCCTGAATGATTCGTGCAGATTTCAGTTTGTCAACATCTTGATTTACCCGGTGACGCTGATAGTACGGAAGTGGGTACGAACGAAGTGACACAGGTCTCGCATCCTCGACAGTGTCGATGGTTACCTCTGCCTTACTGGTCTCGCCAAGCTCGAAAACATCTTTCGCGAAGCAATCCCGATGATTGCTGAGCAAGTCCAGCAACCCTTCAGCCTCGTCCGACGTCACTTCCCTACTGAAAAAAAACCATTTGGCGCCCATATGAAAATAAACGGGTCCATACCGGTAACCGTTTACCATACTGGTCACCAGTTTGTCAAAGGGGTCGCCCGTATGGCTCAAAGGGGTCCCCCGTATGAGCCATAACGGTCACCTATTTGGCAAACGGGTTGCTCGTCTGGGCAAATGGGCGACTCGTTTGGGCAAAGTTGTCGCACGTTTGCTCAAACCGGCGACCATGTTGCAAACTGCACCGGTTTAATCAAACGGCTCTCCGGAGCCCGTTTGATATTGAACGTACAGATCGGCGGCGTGGGCACGCCTAGCGTTTCAGCCGTGGCAGCCAATGTTTTCCGGAAGGCTGGGAGCGCCGGTTCATCGATTTCAGATCGTCCGCGTAATGCAAGTAATTATATTTATATTTCAATGCGCTGATTTTCGATTATACTGCAACTAAAACTAACACCTTTTTTTTTTTTTTCACGTAAACGCGCGACGTTGGTGAGCCGATATTTTTGACAGACCTTTAATACTTTGTCCATCTTTGTTGCCTCAATTTACTTATTCAGCTCGAATCTCTCTCACAGAAGACGCGACCGCGTGAAAGAATGTACGTCTAGACTCCGTTTCACTTTAATTCAAGACGCAGCGAAGGTAGCACGCATACACGCGGCTGCAAGAACATCGAGCATTGCGAGAGCACGCCCGCCGCTGCAGCAGTCAAACTACGAGCTTGCGCTGAGTTCTTTCTTCGCTCGGGCGCAAGCCGAGCTTCTGGCAGCCCCGCCGCCATTTCCAAAGTTTGAGCGCGCGCGCGCGCGCGCGTTTGTTCTTCGGGACTACAAAAACGCATCTCCCTGTTATTGCCTGGAGAGAGGGAGAGGGGCTGTACCGGTGGTCCCAGCGCCTTGACCTCGCCCCCTCCCTCCTCTCTTGTCACCCCTGTCACGTGACCCACAGCAGCGCGCGAGCTACACGCTGATAAGCATCGAGATCCGGAAGGGCGCGCCTTGCAGCCGCTTTTTTCTTTGTCTGCTTGTTGTCAGTTGCTGCTCGAAGTTCGCTCGTCCTACCTGCTTCAATCTGTCGCCTAACACTGCGGTCTTATTGGGATGTCTCGACAACGTATTGGATGTGCACCAAAGCTATCAGTGTTCGAAAAGACGCACGTGTATGTCGGCAACGAGCGATTCTTCAAAGAAGTCGCAAATTCTCGCGGTTTGGTTGGGTTCGGCAAATGACAGCTTGTGCGCCGCATCGTGTTGAAACTTCCAAGGAGCCGTTCCCTCTCGTTTGTGTTTGTGTGGTTGTCCTGCTTTGACCGTGTCGACAAATATCACGGATTACCTCTTTCAAGTCCGCTATTGTTATGGTAAGTGCACTGCAACCTACGTGTTGGCAACGATTGACCGTTCTTCTACGCGTACTCTTCTAAATTATCTAAAGAATTATGCAGCGCCTATTCGCGCGCCAGCCAGGAGAATAATTTCCCCGAAAGTCTACCTGTATAGTGTTCACAGATCGCTTGCACGTTTGTACTTGTCTACAGAAGAGGTGATAAACTTTGAGGAGAATTGAGAACAATCTTTTGTGTCGGTTTTCCTGTGCACTTACAAGCACCTACGCGAGTGCATTTGTTCTACGTGTTTTCTCCATGTTATAAATACGTTTATGAGTTTCGGGACGTCTTAAATATGTTTAAGATAACCAACCTCCCAGACGATACCCATTTAGGGCTAGCGCATAATTTGCAATTTCGAAGGGCACGTTCAAACGTGTGGTCACGTGCCATGTCGAACGGGTACTCGTACCATACGGCACCCGTATCAAACGGCACCCGTATCAAACGGCACCCGTATCAAACGGCACCCGTATCAAACGGGCACCTGTATCAAACGGGTAGCGTTTCGAACGGGTACCGTTTCCAAACGGGTACCCGTATCCCATAATCACGTTTGATCCAAACGGATCGACAGGTTTGATTCAAACGGGCGACCAGTTTGCCACCCGTTTGAATTTCAAATGGTTTTTTTCAGTAGGGTTGCTCCCCAATGCGCAGTTCTGCCAAAGTAATTGGTTGGCGGGTCTTACCTCGTGTGCAGAAATTTCTCAGCTCGCTGTCTGGTTCACACGTTTCGCCACGCCACAATATCACCTTGAGCAATTCAAAGTTCATTCGTCAAAACATTCATGTCGGGGATCACTCCGTCCCCCTCACCGCTGACTCCCAAGATGCAGGATGGAAAAGAGTGTTCTCTATTCCATGTCGTTCCGTTTGCCAGAGTTGTGCAGCACCGTTCATTGCCTCACGCATCGCCGTCTGTATGGTCTCTAGTGTCACTGGAAGTTGAAGGGGCCACAGCTGTCGTTCGGGGGCTGTCCGTGTGCATTCGGCAATTCTGCGTTGCCTCCATTAGGCGGTGTTCTGTTATTCGCCTCTGGCGGCTGTATCGAGACTTCAGGTACGTCCGGCAGGCTATTTGCAGTCCCTTGGCTCACTTCTTTGCTTTAGTTGACTTTGTTGCCGCCATGGTTTCTCGTTGAAGTGGCCCCTCTGGGTGCCTGCTGTACATCCTTCGTTCCCTTTCATGTCATGGTGAAGTATTTGGTGGCCAGTTGATGATTTGCTTCTCTTGGACTTTATCATACTTCTGAAGTGCTAGCATTAGGGGTACCAATTAGCGATTTGGTTGCATTTAACTGTTTATTGAATTAAAACTTGAAAGGTTGCATTGAATAGGGGATTACATAAACGTTGCGGTTATAGAGTGGTGCTGTGTTTCACTCGACATTGTCAGATTTAATATCCGCCTCGCTTCCTTTTGAGTACAAGAGAGGACGACCTCGATCTCCTGACTGCTGACACTCCTCACAACTTGCGCATTTTTTTAGCCAGGCTGTCCGACTCGAAATCCTGGACTAGGAGTCACGTGTTCCAACTCATACTTCAAAACATTCTAAACCAGCTTTGGAGGGTGTGGCGGCCAGTCGTCAAGTGTTACTGCACTGATGGTGGTGCAAACCACTCCCAAATCGACTTCAGTTCACAGTGTCCCCCAAACCTTAGATGGCATTGCTGGAGCTAGCAAAAAGCTTGGCTCGTGGAAAATTGGTGCTAGTTCATCCTACAATCCCAAGTTCAGTAAGTCGGGTTCATACTGTGCATCTTGCACTACCCTCTTGTGCTCCATGCCGTCTTCAATTGCGCCGTTTGTTGGAAAAGCGACAGAGCGCAGTCAGGAAAAGGCAGCTAGCTACCAGCTTGATCTGTGCTAAGGCAATGGTAGCAATGTTGTCATCTCGTCATGCCAGTCTTCTCCTTTTTTGTCTGCTGTTTTCATAGCTTGTTTACGTCAACCTCTTGTCCTGATATTGTACCATCCTGCGGTGGCACAGTGCCATGCCCCGTGTTTCCTTTGATGCTGCCCTTGGGTATCATGTTGTGCAACCGCTTTGTCTGCGACAATCGTCTGCAATGTCGCTAGTTCAAGGAACTGAAGCGAACTTTCCGAATAGTGTACGACATGACGGTCAACACAGAAAGTGCTTTTTCCAGCAACCACCACAGGATGGCATAGAGTTCATAACTGATACCTGTTTCTTCATGACTATCAGTGTTTTCAAATAATGGTCCCAAAAAATATATGTGAATGAGACCAGGGGTGTTGAGTCGAGTCCCAGTGACGACGACCAGGAAGTCTATCAGCAAGTTGACCCTCTCTCGTCTTGATATAAGGAGCATATGGTCTTATTTCAATGCAATTCCAGGCGACCAGGTTACACTTTGCGACTGCTTCTATATTTACAATGCCTGGGGGCTATGCGCAGGGCCGAGCATTGTTTCCTTTGAGGCCCTGACTGTCTTAGCTGCCTGTCAGATCATCACCTTTTCCCCATTAATGACACTTTTCAACACCGCTGTCCAGTAATTTAGAAAAGAGGAAAGGGCATGATTGGGAGAGAGCTGATGAAGTGACAGACAGGGAAAGTCATATACTATATGAAATTATCAACTATATTTCAGTGGCTGTTTGTGAACAGCTCATCAGCAAGTGAAATATTTTGCCTGCAGATACCGTACATAGCAGTTGCCTCAATTGAAATGCCCTTACCACAATAATTTCACATGCAATCATTTTTAGCAGAGTGTAAAAAGCATTTAGGTGAGGTGGAGTACAGTTTTATTGTGCAGTTAGAAACCCAGTGAAGGCTTCTGATGGGAATTCCTCCCGGATCCTCCCGACAACACAGGCTGGAAGGACACGCCTGTTGCGACGTCCCAGTCTGTTCCACATCCATCGAGCGAATTGTCTGTAAGCCACGAAACGCATCCTGGGAAATTGGTAAACAATGAAAACTGGTCAATTACCCTTGAAATTCAAACGTATGTAAAGTGGTAGGCAGAATGTGGGTGCCTCTCATGGTCACATATCTGAATTGCATAATTACAATACTATAAATGTGAGTGTTAGAAACTGCAGTAGCTACAAAGGTTTTTTTTTTTTTTTTTTTTTTTAAGAATAGTGCATTTAGTTGGTGGTGACTAACTCCACTAAGAAATAGCAAACCAAAAGTGGATGGTGTGCTTCTAGGCAGCTCAGAGTTCTGTCTGTGTGTCATTGGGCAAATCGGTAACTGGTTGTGCAGGGGGGCTATGTTCAACAAATGTTTCGTTTCTCCTAAAAAGAAACGGAAGGAACGATGTCGTGTCTGATTGGTTAGAGGCTCAAACGCCGAAAGAGGGAATTTTCGTCATTTGAGCCTCTAGCCAATCAGACATGATATCGTCACTTCTGTTGTTCTTTTTTTTAGGAGAAACGAAACATTTGTCGAACATAGCCCCCAGTTATCTTTTATGTTATATTGTATCTTTGGAATGTGACTTGGAGTCTTCCATTTTTTATTATATTTACAGCAATGCATAGAACAGTCAGTACCTTTGCTCAAAAGATAATAAAAAATTTCAAACAATTGTATTTTGTTTGCTTTGTAAAAGTATGGTGGTTCACTGTTCTTTTAAAATATGAATAAATCCGCAAGGTGGAGATCGATGCGAAGCTGCGGATTACAGACTAGTGCATGTTTAAAATTTGCGAATCCAGTCTATTGAGTGCTTTGCTTCTTAGGTCGTGATGTGTTTGTGCATGATCTTGTTCTCTGGCGCCACAGCCACTCATGTGGAAACCTCCTCGCACTCAGTCACATTGGGTAAAAGTTAGAACGATTTCATGCTCTTGCAATATGGAATTTTGACAATTTTTTTAATGCAATCTGAGTCAGCCGCCCGTACATGTGCCGCTGTTCCTGTGATGCCCGCGAAACCAGTCAAAAAGTCAAGCGAAATATCAAGTATCAAAATGAAAAACTGGGAAGTTGGGACACCAGAGAAGAAAATAAAGTGGTTGGGACATCATTATGGCCATTACTGTGCTCGTGTCAACTCCCGCGTATTAGGAGCCCCTTGCAACCTGTCTGCATCAAAGCCACATTAACAAAGACAGAAAAAAGCATGCCGATCAGCGGCAGCTCTGTAAAAAAATATAATAATTTGAAACGAAATACGCACTTCTCTACCCCACGCGCCGGGTGATCCCCTGCCTCCTCCAGCGCCCAAAAGGCAACACGCAGCACGCCAGTCTGAAGACAAATCGCCGCATAGTCTGGGTGCTCGGTCACGCAGCCCACGGGCTGAGTAACGACTGCAGGCGGTATTTCGCGGCAACAGACACACTCTCGTGATGTCGGCATGATGCTGCACCTTTTGCACGAGCACCTGTGATTAGAACGAGAGTCATTAGATGACACCTACTTGGAGACCGCATATCCAAGTGGAGACATGAGACGCGCGTCACTTACCATGCCGTGGTGGTAAGTCGCCATGCGTCTGGATCAGGGCCAGGATCGGGCGGAGAGTCGTCGCGCTCATCGACGCCGCGCTCCCGTTCCGTCGGGGTGCCCGCGTACGGAACCAGTCCAACGGACTCGCTAAAGGCGAACATCTCACGCTCGATCTCGCTCAATCCGTTCTTCCAAGATGCCATCTTGGTCAGCGGAGGATGAAAAGAGCTCGCTCTCGGATGCGGCGCAACGCTGGCAACCATGGCAACGCTCGCTGAGGACCGAGCGAATCCGGAAACTTACTTCCCCATTAAACGTCACAGCCACGTGACGACCACATTACCGGAAAGACGGTTTGAGAGTTGAGAGTGACCGCGGGGGGCGCATATTTCAATCTGTTTTTATTTTCTAAAAAAAAAAACTCGGGCACGTATCGAAAAACGGTTTTCTGTTCCATATTCCTCAGGTGGTAGGCATTAACTCCCACACCTATCGACCTGAAGTCTGAGAATTGTTGCACAGCCCCTTTAAAGGAGTCATGAAACGCTTTTCCATCTTTTTCCTGTTTAACTTTCCTCCTCAACTCAACTTTTTTTTTTATACCAAAAAGTTCAAGAAGACGGAAAGGGGGAGTCCCGTCTTGCTCGGACTCTCGTTTGTGTAATCCAGACACATCCATTCTCCCCCTAGAAGATTATCCCGTCGCTCAAAATTCAGACCAAAGTTGCTTTCCACACCCCCGTTCACCCCGAAGCTGAAAGTGCTGTGGTAGCTGCGTGCTCCTTGGGCCAGCCACACTTTTGCCTCGTGATCTCGCTCTCTCGCGCATACCCCACGCGCAGAGAATAAAGGGAGGTGATCAAAGCGGGGCGGCTGATTGATCCGACAAGCGCGTAGCTTCCACCGCAATGTCAGCTTAGGGGTTAAGGGAATAAGTGAGGTCCAGCGTCGTGTGACGTGGGTCTGGAGCCGGGGACGCGCTGCGGGGTCCGCGGATGTATCCCAGTGAAAAGGCAGAGAGCTTATGAAGGGAAGGAGGTACGAAATAGCCGCAGTGTTTTCAATTTTTCGTACCGAAAGTCAGGCTTTTGACTTTCTACTTTTTTCTTTTGGCCCACTGAACGATGTGCTATTAGTAAAATCCCAATATAAATTGATTTATTCCAGCCCGAAATTCGTTTCATGGGCCCTTTAAACGCATGCTTACTCAAAACGGGCTCCACAGCCGCCGCCCCCCCCCCCCCCCCCCCCTTCCCCTGCTCCTCCTCCTCCCCCCTTCCCTTCGAGGGGCAAATATTGGAATGGTCACAGCGTGGGGCTCTTCGGCTGAAGTTTCGCCGGACAGCGGCCGCTTTATATCTACCCCTGGTGAGACGCCCGTGCTCGGTCAGTTTCGCAGTAGCAGACGACGGAGCTGGAGACTGGCACGCTTATCGCAAGGACAATAACTTTCCGAAGCCAGAAGGACGGCGTGTTGTGTAAATAGTGTTTTAAATACGTTGGAAAGGTTGTTTTATTTTCTTTCTTTTTTTTAATTGTTTTTCGGAAAGATCGCTGAGGAGCGCGAAATATTTTTTTTTTTTTTTACTTTTCGCATCCTGCAAAACACTCCAATTTCGCGGCATGTTAGTGGCTGCTAATATTCGCGAATTCTTCTGGCACAGGAAGCAAAACTTGCAGCAACAAAATTTCACAAATTCTTGGGCCTTGAGGCCAGGGATCGAAAATCCGGCGAACTTGGCAGCCTTGATAAGGGGCGTCCCCTTGAACTTTTCATAGTTTGTATTGACATAGTATTGCCAGTCTTGGAAATTTCGTCAGTTTCCACTTTGCCCGGTACAGAAAGTTCACTACCGGTCACAAAAGGACAAGGTGGTACAGAGGGTTGCTTTACGCCTTTGTGAATACTGAGGGTAAACAGGAGGGCGTGACAGCATTCAGGGGGGTAAACGAACGTACCGAGCTCCGCAACTAGCAGACGACTTACCTGCCGCATAGTGAAGTTAGAAAGGAATAGCCTGAAAATGGAAATCTCCAGATAGTCTGGTAAGTTACGTTTCCACAAAGACTGCCCATGACAGAGGAGTCCATTAACTGAATGCATACGCCAACGTCTACTAAAAGAAAAAAAAATATTCCAGACGGTAATAGATGTTTTCGCCAGCACAGAGCCCGCCTGCATTACGCCAAAGCCAGCATCGCGAACGGCACCAGCATCGCCAGCATAAAGTGCCTCAATGTTGTTGGCCGCTGCGGCGCAGCGGCCAACAACATTGAGGCACTCTACGCCAGCACGCCAGCATAGAGTAACTGTATAGGCTCTGCTTGCAGAGCCAGAGTATCGCGTTCCTTTTCCTTTCGCCGCCATCTCCGTATTGGCGGAGGAGTGCTCACGTGGGCAGAACTGGATCCGACCTTCGTGCGGGAAAGCAGCCTTCCAGAGCGCAGAGTTTTTGGGGGAACATATTTTACGCTTTGAGTTCGCCAAATATAGATCCTAGACTAAAATTGAACGAACCGAAAGCTTCCCTAGTCATTGAACATTGTGTGCGTCAACTGGGTACAGTACAATCCTGTTTTTTTTATAACGCGAGCGATGTTTCAGGACATCCGTTTCCAAGGTATGGGAAGCAGACGACACGGAGGACGATCGCGTTGCTCGCGTCTGCGGCTCTCGCGGAGTGATACGCGATACGCGACCGGCACATCCGGCCATCTTGGCGAGTCGGCGAGCTCTCGAAAGCGAGGGGACAGCGTTTTCGCCAGCCGCTGCGTCGTTTACCGCAATGAATTGACGACTTCACCTCACACGCGACCCGCAGAATCTGCGGGTGAGATTTTTGCAATCGAGAGGGAAACAGGAAACGACGGGAGAACGATGATGGCGCATGCGCGGCTCGTCGCCGCACGCCGCACTATTTTCCTTACGAATCGCGCAGCAGCACGCCACAGCACGCCGCCTCCCGCCTGCGCCTTTGCGTCCCCTGCAAAAACCGACCGTGGCTTCCCGCAGTGCTTGGCTCCAGAATGGCACCATTGCGGTACTCTGCTCCGCAAGCGGAGCATATACAGTTACTCTACGCCAGCACACTTTGCTGCGCCATCTGTCGCCTCCCAGCACAATGCCCGCAAGCATTGCGCCAAGGCCAGCACCGCCAACGACGCCAGCACGCATAACTGCGCCATCTGTCGCTGCAGTCTGCAATGTCGGGAGGAGGAACTTACTCTCGCTGTAGTTACTCTAGGGCTTAGAGTAGAGTATCATTGCGGGAGGCGCTTGGAAAAGAGTAACTTTTAGGTAGAGAGAGTTAGAGAACTGTAAGTTCGGGCAGTTACTCTCCTTCGACCCCTTTTTTTTTTAGAGTGTATACTTTTTTGCGGTTTTGCATTCGACGTTTTGAAGCCCCTCTTGAAAGTTTCCACTTGATTTTTTATGCGTGCTGCGTACCCTTTCTGTGTTATCTTCCATTGTGAGAAGTAAGGCTGGTAAGTCCTGCCATTCAAGCTTTTCTGCTCGACGTTCACGGGAAACAAAGAAGGTGAAGGACGTCGAACGGCCCTTGACACGATTTTGCGAACATTGTTCTCCCCCCTCCCAGAAATGATCCTCGTAGAATCCACATTCATTTTCAAAAATAGTTGTCCGGGTTGGTTGGGGTTGGGAACGGGTCAGTCGTGTTCGTTCTTTTGCTTTGGTGCTGCAGTGAAAAAGAGGAAGCTCTCCCCAAAACGAAGTCATCTTGGATTCCGTCCGATCGTCAAGATGCGACAATTGTCGACTGTGACTGTTTTATTTAAGATCTTTCTCGCATAAATTATGTCGGAAAACGCTGCATCCTGTGGTACGTAGAATATTTTGTTCGAATGTTAACACTCGCTAACATGTATGTCCGAGTCCTGTCCCTCGGTAAACACGTTATTTGTGAGCGTACAAAATGCATGCCTTTCGGATATCTTCTGTTGTAAATTATTTTCGACAACTAAGCGTTATGTCGTTTAACATGCGGCGAATCACGCGGCGCCGTGAAAATTTTTCGTAAAAAAAACACAAAAAACTAGAACTATACATTTCAGCCGTATTTGTTCTGTCGCACGCGTACCCAACAAAAACAATTTATAGGTTTTTTTATTGCTTTTTGTTTTTCAAATGCGATACATTGCTTTCTCAATGACCTCGGGAAAATACATGCACAATGAAACACAAAATACAGCGTGAAAAGAAGAGAATTTAGCCGCCAGCAGTGTTTGAAACTGCGCCTACGCAGGCTGCGCCTATCGAATTTACAGTCCACTCGGTTAGGGTTAGCACGGACGCCGGTGAGAGTCTACTCTCAAAGCCAGTGACTGGGCTCGAAAACGGTTTGCTGCGCCTGTGGTCGAGTGTTTCTTGGAAAGATGATAGTCGAACAGACGGCCCCAAATTTTATGAGGGGCATGATAACGTTGCGATATAACTTTCTAAAGAGCTGAAGTACGTATTAAAGACGACATAAAGAAAACACTGAGTTCTTGCTGTCAGGCCACGAAAACCTCGATATATTCATTTGTAGTCAGTAATACGTTCCCACACCGCTATCAAGCCCCACGTAAATTAAGGGTTCGACTATAGGGCGCTGTACGTCGAATTGAAGTTTTGGGGTGTATGGGACAAAATGTGTAAGAATACACCCTTTTTTTCGAGAGTGTACTCCTCACGCCCCTCACGCCCCTCACGCCCCTCACGCCCCTCACGCACTCATGACCCTCAAGCCACTCAGGCCCGCTTCAGATGTGGTAATTTCGCCGAGAAACTTAAAGTCGCAACACCAGCAACACGCGCCGCCCGCGTTCAGACGCAGCAACCAATCGCTGCAAGTTGCCATCATCATCATAAAATTTTATTTTTTTTGCACTATTTAAACACACAATTACGCGCTATGAACGTGTTTTTATGCATTTATATCTCATTGAGAATACTATTGCATCTTTCCAAAACAGTTAATTTACAAAAAAATCAATTTCGACCAGACCCAAGTATTTTGTTCTCATCATCGCCGGCAAAGGGTGTCACGTGAAATTATCGGGTCCCTGATTAGATGCAACCGCTTCAAACGTCTTCGAATTGCTCCGAGTTGCTCGCTTGTTTGAAGCCGAACCCGATCTCAGCAATTCGTGTCGATCTAGCGAAAGCTAGGGAACAACCCGACAGCAATACCAAAATTGA